TAGGTTCTAGGTGAAGTTTTTGCTGGCACAGGGACTGTTCAGCGCAGCACAGGTGATGCTTGAGAGGGATGCGGCTTTTAAAGATGCAAACTCTGCTTGTACTGAAGGTGGTCGTTCAGTAGTGTAATACACAAACTAAACCCCCCTCCCCAAACATAAATCTGAATCAACACAGTACAAATGAAGGCAGGAGGAGGTCATCCCCTTCTGTCGACATATTCAAACTTTCCACCACAACTGGAAGATCTCTTTCAAGCTCCCTCAGCCAGTTCAGACCCTATCAGCATATATTTCAAAATCGTCTCTGTGTCTCCCCCCCCCCCCCGCCAGTGTACGTCACTTTTCACTTACGGTGAATTTCGTTTGCCACCTTGTGACCCGCTCACCCAACCTGGAGACCCTCCGTCCTGTCCCTCTTCACAGTCAGACTTGGCTTTCACCATCTTCTGTAATGTTTGTATCATCTGCATATTTGCCCACTACGCTGCTCACCCCCAATTCCAAATCATTTACTGTCAAGTTGTTTTGCCAGAACCTGATCCACCAGAACCTATTCACCTCGGTGGGGGAAACTTTCCATTTTTACAAAGAAGCCTTTTTGCCGTATATGGCTTCCTCGACTGAGGGGTTACCTACGCAGGCATTCTTTCAGACTAGGTGGTACCTGTCTGCATTCTGTCCGTGCCTCAGTCTTATTTTAAATACTTTCCAGGAAAGCTGGGGAATTCTGACTCTTAATTCTCCCCTTTAACCTCCTCCCGCCTAGTCCCTCATTGTAGCGAACGCTGTCTAGAGGGGCAACTTTCCATTGATATGTAGTCCCTGTTCCTGATCGGTGCAACAACATCTAACACCAGGTCTTGAGCCCCACTCAATACCAAGTCCAGAGTTGCTACATCTCTAGTTAGGCTCCAGTGCACTGTGTGTTGCACGTGAATGATTTCTAGGGCATGACTTGAGCATGTATTTGTCCAGCCAACATGAAGGCAGTTGAAGTCACCCAGTATTACAACATTTCCCACTTGAGTTGCCCCCTCTTTTCCCTCTCCTTTTTTTTCAAGATCTTGCTTCATGGTTTATTCAGAAGGGTGCTAATACACCCCTGCTTTCAAAGAACTGTATCCCAGTATCTTTACTCAGAGCAGTTATGTGGGGGAGTTCCCCCACCCCACAGTCTCTAGCTTGACTCTCTGATATACTGAGCAGCTCTCCAGCCAACACGCCCCTCCCCTGTCCCGCCTACGGAGTTTCTACCCAGGGATAGCAGCATTGCCCTGATCTTCCCCATCCCGCCATGCATCTGAAACCCTTGTCAACATCACAGGGCTGTTCTGAGGATAAAATGGAGGCGCAGAGAATGTCATAAACTGCTTTGGCTCCCCACTGGGGAGAAAGATGGGAAATAAATCAACGGAGTAAGTGAAATAAACGAGGGACGCTGGGCAGCTTTTGTGGCACCCCTCCTTTACTTTCCCCACAAACACAAGCCAACAGGATTCAGACCAAAGGCGTTAGCACCTTTATTGTACACACCATAAAGGCTACACTTGCCATTAGTCACCTTTCCATTGTAATGTACAATACTATACAGTTAACATGTAACTCAAGAGGGTGGAGGTTGGTGACGCATCAATAGTGTGTGAGGAGCTCACAAAGACTGAAGACTTCCGTCCCTGCCGAAAGGGCCCAGGCCTCATTGCTTGGCTTATCTGGAGGGTGGGGGGAACCTGGAGACTCCAACATTCGAGATTAAAAAACCTCAGGGAAAAAAAGTCACTCTTGTATAAATAGCATTTTACAAAGAATACAAAAATAAAGTTGGTTGCACATTTGAGATTGCATGTGGCAGTATTACTAACTGTGCCTGAAGAGCAAAGATCAGGTTGTCTCAGCGCACGCACACACGCACACACACGCACACGGACCTCGCACAGAGAGACAGACGATTGCTTTGTGGTGGTTTCTGTGCAAGTTTCTCCAAGAGATCCTACAAGGACATCTCATCTTTGGCACCTTGGGCCTGGGAAGCGGCAGTTGCCCAAACTGTAAACTCCTCTAACATTTAGTTCTAGAAGCAGAGGAGACCCCGGAACAGACCCACCCCACTCACGGAACAAAGGGAACCAAGCAGCACGTAGGCGGTGTCGGGGGGGGGAGATTGCGGGGTCATCGAGGCATTTCCTGCCCCTCCCGGAACCCGCCAGGCTCCAGGGCTGAAGGCCAGCCGGAGCACAGGTGGGCTGCACAGGAATACCACCTGGGCCAAGAGCAGGGCCAGCTCTTGGGCACCCATCTCTCCTCCTCCTCCTCCTCTCTGCTGCCCACTGAGAGAGGCCAAGGCCAAGGGATCCCCCTCCCTGCCCCCATGCTGAGACACCTACCTGGGCAACATGCAACTTTCAGGGAAAGCGCTGTCAGGTGGGGTGGGGGGAGCAAATGCGCTCTGCCCTCCTGTGGATTTTAAAACGCCTGTCTCAACGGCTTCCGCGTGGAGGCTGTGCTCCACTTGGGCACGCAAACCAAAGCAGGGTTCAGCACCCACATGACATCCCACCCGAATCGTCCACTTTCTGGGTTTTCCTGGCCTTGCTGCCATCATTCCCAAAGCTGGTATCATCCTGCTGGAAAGGTCGTTTCCGCAGCCCCCTCCCCCCCTCCGCAGGCCCCCTTTCCTTCTTCAGCCCCCCTACCCCCAAGCCAGCCGCCATCTCCCCCTGCCTCTGGAGGCCCCCTTTAAAAAAAACAATCAGCAATTGACATACCTCAAAGTGTTAATCTAGAAGAGGAGACTAGAGTCTCAGAGCAGTTTACAATCTCCTTTCCCTCCCCCTCCCCATAACAGACGCCCTG